GATTTGTGGCAGTGAGTGCAACACCGAAAGCACTTACCACCAGAGAAGTGGAAGAGGCATCAGACACTGATCCAGAATTATGTGAGGTGCGCAGGGCCTGGACATTTTGAGAAGTGTAAACAGTATGCAATCGTTGCAAATGAGCTATGCACAATTGGGTATCTTGTTCTGAGAGGCACACGTATTGTGTTGCCCCAGGTCCTACGAGCACGAGCGCTGATACTAGCCCATGAAGGACATTTGGGTATCGTGGGAACAAAGCAACATCTTAGAACAAAAGTGTGGTGGCCTGGCATGGACAGAGCAGCCGAAAGACATTGCAAGGCCTGCCATGGCTGTCAGATAGTAGCTAAGCCTGATCCACCTGAACTGCTGAGACCGACACCGCTACCCGATGGACCTTGGCAGGATATTGCAATTGATATTCTAGGACCTCTCCCGTCAAATCACTCCATTCCGGTAGTAGTAGACTACTTCAGCCGATACTACGAATATGACATATTAACTACCACCACAACAGAAAAGATCATAGACAGCATGGAGACAATCTTTAGTAGACACGGACTGCCTGCCACATGCAAATCAGATAATGGACCTCAGTTCAGATCAGAACAATTCAGACACTTCTGTGATGAAAATGGGATCACGCATGTGAAAACCACACCAAAATACGCTCAGGCCAATGGGGAAGTTGAGCATCAAAATGCATCAATGATGAAGAGAATTAGAATTACTCACTCAGAGGGTTTAGACTGGAAAAAAGAATTGCGAAAATATGTGACTGTGTACAGAGGCATTGCCCATGCAACAACAGGTAAAAGCCCCGCCGAATTGCTCTTCAATCGAAAGGTCAGTGGAAAGTTGCCAGAACTTATTGAGAGGCATGCTGATCAAGAACTATGTGATTATGACACAGAGCAAAAAGCGAAGAGTAAAATGTATGTAGACATGCGCAGATGGGCACGACAGTCAGAAGTCAGTGTCGGTGACACTACTCTTGCGACAAGACAAGACTGA